CAGACTAGGTACCCCAGCTCAGCATGCCTGGGGGTGTGGCTGGTGCTGTATGCAGTACTGGGAATTAAACCCTGATCCCTGTGCTTGCCTAAGCAGGCACTTAGTCTACTGAGCTATCTGGCCAGTTCCTAAAAAACACTTCCAATGTTCACTTTTATACTAAATATGGAATAGACATTTGCTAAAATCATTAATTTTAAAAATATAGAATTCTATGACCAAGCAGGACAATAATTTTTAAATTATTATTAAGTTTACGCATACAATGTAGATATACACCATGATCACATTCATCATAGGGAATTTATACCTGTATATGACGTATCTTGATTTCTCTTTTTTCCCTCCCCTCCCTTCAACCCTTCTTCTCCTCCTTATTCACAAAGCTTTGTTTCCATTTTATTCTTTTCTCATGTTCTTTTTCCTTCTCTCCCCACCCCCAGTTTCCATTGCCTTTTGAACACTTTGTTACATTTCACAATATCTACTGTACATTTTGGTTCTTATTTTCAGTTTCTCACATGACAGAGACTATGATATTTACACATTTGTCTGATTTATTTCACTTAGCAGTATGGTCTCAAGTTGCATCCATAGAGCTGTCTCACGTTTATTTTTCTTTATGACTGAGTACTACTCCATTGTATAGAAAAACACATTTTTTTTATCCATTCATCAATTGCTGGACATTTGGTTTATCTCCAAGATTAGTTATTACAACCTGTGCTGCTCCAATGATGGGTGCAGATATATTGCTGTAGTATGATACTTTCAATTCTTTTCAGAAGATACTAAGGAAAGGCAATAGTTGGGTCAAATGGACCTGTAGCCCTAGTTTGTTGAGAAATTCCCAAACTGATTTCCACAGTGGTTGCCCCAGTCTACATTCCCCAAACTGTGGAGAAACGTTCCTTTTTTCCTGCATATCTCTGCTGGTATTTGCTTTTGGCTGATTTCTTGATAACAGACATTTTTTTCTGGAGTGAGATGGAATCTCAGCATTGATTTAATTTGCATCTCTTGAATGACCAGTGATGCTGAACACTTTCATGCATTTATTTACCATTTCTACCTCTCTATCTGAGAAGTGTGTATTCATCTCAGATGACTATTTTTGAACTAGGTCTTTGAATGAGGAGGGGTCTAATTTTTTCAATTCTTTATATGCTCTAGAAATTAGTCCTTTGAGGAACAACTGGAGAACATTTTTTTCTCACTCTGTGGGTGTCTTCTTACTCTGTTGGTGATCTCTTTTTCTGTGCAAGAGCCTTTTAATAAGATGAGATGCTGGTAGTTGACTCTTTGTAGTATTTTCTGTGCAGGTGGGGTCTTGCTCATGAAGTCTTTGCCTCCACCTGTCTTCAATAGTTCTACACATTTTTGTCTTCAACTAGATTTGGTGTTGCTGTTTTAATACTCAGATGTTCAATCCATTTTGATTTTAGTTTAGTGCATGGTGATAGGAATGGGTCTAATTTTAGTCATCAACGTGTACAAAGCCAGTTTTTCCAGTACCATTTATTGCAGAGGATCTCTTTCAGGGAGTGTGTGAGCCTTTTGTCAAAGATAAGGTTTAAAAGTGTGTTTACAGTTGTTTCCAAATCTTTTAATTTGTTCCATTGATCC